CGACACCACCCTTTCGATCTCTCTCGACGACATGCTTGTCAACTGTGAGGCACCTTCAACTCCATGACCGAGCCACCTTCACCTACAGCCTCACTCACTCCGTTGCTTCATGTTCCATCCACCAAGAATGTCACACTTCATGCAACTCATGGACGGCACCATGAGATTTCCCCCTGATATGCCCAGGCAGCTTTCTGCTTCCTTCTCGGCCACGCCAACTGTCCCCGCCATCGCCATGTTCGCCGGAAGAACCCTCCAGATTCCCACACACAACATACATTGGGAGATGAATACATACACACATCCATCTGCTCTCGGGTTCTCTCACTCTCTCGGCAGTTTTGGGTTAGCGCATTCCCACACACACAGTTTACAGAGAGAGAGCCCACTCAACTTTCTTTTTCTTTTTTATTATTTTACTCCATCTTTTGCACAGCACACGAAACACACATTGATTTGCCCATGTATCTCTTTTCTCTCTCTCTCCCTTTACACCCTCTCTTTTCTTTTCTTTTTCTTTTAATATTTACCTCCACTAGCCGACACGCACCTGCATAACGAGACACCTTTTATTTTTTTTTATTCTTCAAACAACACCCCATTCACACACTTATCACACCCACGGGTAGCCCACACCCAGCTCACAGACATCATTCACACCCTTATCACACCCCACGGGTAGCACCTTCACACCCAGCACATACACACACAACTCACTCTCACCTCTCTCTAGCTGGGTCTCTCACGAGACACACCCATCATCTCTCCCTCTCGGCAACTCTCTCTTCCGGAAAACACACAGACCACCTCACCACCCACAATTCATCAACTTCTCTCTCTCTATAGCTCTCTTTCGGGTTAGAGCACACAGCAGCCCACACACGCAGAGGGAGGATCACACAGGGGGACACAACACACAAGCTTTGAGAATTATGATGAACTATTGATATCACATAAGTCTTTCCTTTGGGCAAAACTTAGGTATATCTATTGTCCACTCATCAAGAAGCACTTATGTAGGTCTAAAGTAATTTATGCAATTTTTCAGCTAGTCATGTTACCTTTGGGTATTCAATTCTAATCTGTCAAATTAGATAAGTTACATTATCCTACCCAGTTTATAATTATTTGAAAGTGACTCTCCTTTGGGCTAGTCTCAATCTCCTAATTATAACTGCAATTGAGAATATTATTAACCTTAATGTTACCCTTTTAACAATTCTTTTATGTAGTTCTATATTCATAAGTTTTACAAATCTAGGCCACTTTGGCAGCTACTAAATTAATAAACCCTATGAATACGGAGCTAACCAACAATATTCTCTATTCATTAATTTTAAGTTATTTAATTATCATTAATTCAATCACGATTTTAATGAGATCACTATTTTTATGATTTCTAAAATTTCTTTTATGTGATCAATATAATAATAATAACTCTGGATGAACAGGAATATTTATATATGTATTATAACAATCATGAATATCTAAAATAATGGTTAATAAGAATTACACCTAATATGAATTAACCATTTTAATATTTAATATTCAATGTCATAAAATTATATCATGATATCAATTTTAAATCATGAAAATATATAAATATTTAACAATAATAGACAATAAGTGTGCATAATTAAACAAGGCAAAAACATAATCTTCTAATGTGATACAATCAAATAAATATATTTATTTAATAGATCGAATGATTCAACAAAATTCTAAGATTGTATTTAATCTATGCACTTTATCATAACGACAAGCAATATACTTAATTCAATATCATATTATGATGATTATAATAATTATTATTATTACTAAAATTAATAATAAATCAAAACATGCATATGAACAGCATATAAAATTGCATAAAAGTTTGCACCTAACATATCACAAAACAAAGTGAGTGAGGGAGTCCATGATGTGCATACTTAGTTACGATTTAGAAATCAGGAATGAAATCTTCTTTCACACAACCTTCGACTTTTAACAACACAAAAAGAGTTTCTTTGATGCATAATGAATATGAAAGAGATTAGATGTACCAATCAGACACTGCCTAATTTAAATAGGAGCACTATGTAAAGATCATTTAAATAAAAGCAAAAGTATGTGGCAGATAAGTGGACTATTATCATGCAAACTTTAAAGTCATGGCTATGTATATGCTTATTATAAAGGGTTATGGAGAGCATGTTAATAGCATAACAAAATCAAAAGGGTGTATTGCACGTTTGATCAATACAAACAAATTGAGATAATATTTTAAAGTCAATACTTTTAATAAAACAAAGGTACCGTTTATTAATAACAGTATCATAAATATATTATTATTCCAAGGTGTATTGATTCACAAAACTAAAGCTCTGATATCACATGTAAGATTTAATAATACATGTAACCATAATAATAATGCGGAATTAAACTTTACAGGATCTTGAATTCAATACAACTCAAGAATAAAATGAATATACCTTTGTCAGCCATTGAATTAGAGAAGTTGAGAAAATACCCCTTAGAGTTGAACCTTTAATTCTTGGCTCACCTTCTTCTCTCTGTCTCTCTTAATTAGGATGACTATAAAACTTAAAGTAATGGAAAAATACTCATGATATGAAAGAGGAGTCACCCATCCTTATATAGAGGAGAGAAGAGGGCCAAATAAACTCTATCAGAAGAATTCCTAATCCATCAAGGTTTCCTTATTTATCTTAGAAGAGTGATTATATTAAAATTCTAATTACTGAACTTTCTCTCAAATATTGACTTTATCTAATTATGGAGTCCAAATAAAATAAAATATGTAAAAATATGTAGGCTATTGGGCCACACTAGAAAATAAATCCAACAAAATAAACAAGATAAGAATAGAAATATGGTGAATCCTTCAGTTGATGTCCTCATGCTTCTAATCTTGGAGCATTTCTGTTCAATATCATTTATATTTGCTCCACAGATAAAATTCTCCCTTTTTCTGGGTTGAGTTGAGATCACCTGTACTGTACCCATTTTCTGTACCAACTCTCTGTCCCGTGATTACTTAAAAGGGCAAATTACAAACACCCCCTTGAGGTTTGGTAAAAATACAGATTCCTCCCTGAGGTTTGAGAAATTAAAAATTGCCCCCTGAGGGTCAAATTTTCATAACAAATTAGAAAAAATTAGGGGGGAATCTGTATGAAAATAAAAACCTCAGGGGGCAATTTGTTATGAAAATGTAAACCTCAGGGGGCGGGACATAATTTCTCAAACCTCAGGGGAGAATCTGTACTTTTATCAAACCTCGAGGGGGGTGTTTGTAATTTGCCCTACTTAAAACAAAATTATCACTATTTATTTGCTTCATCTATTTTCCTTTCCACCCCACAAATCACCGCCCACGGATGACTTAAGGGAAGAGGTTAATTTAGTAATTTTTTAATTATTTGGCTAAAATATGAGTTAAAAAAAATTAGTATGTTTGGAATGATTTTTTAACTTTTTACGAAAAGATGCGTAGAGAGAAAATAAAAACTTTAACTTTTTGATAAGAGTTATTGACTTTTTGATTTTTTAAATAAATTTCAACTTTTTAACTAAATGGGTTAGTTCCCAAACGAGGCCACTCCGCCGTCACAGCCACGCTTTCCTCTGGCTCTCTGTCTAAACCCAAATAAGACTCCTACCATACCTTTTAGGCCCCGTTTGTTTTGGGTGAAAGAGAGGGTATTGGGATTGCTAATACCAAGGTATTAGTAATATTCTTGTTTGTTTTGGGAGAAGGCCTTGGGACTATTAGTCCCTTGGTATTACTAATACCCTTGGAGAGGGGATTGGTAAAGAGGAGGTAGAGATGGTATTAGAAAAATAGTAAGAGGATTAGAAATTTTTTTATTTTTTATATATGGGAAATTTTTTTAAAATATAATTTTTAATTTTTTATATTTTTTTATTTGTTTTATTATTTTATATAAAAATAATTTAACAATTCCTCACTACTAATCCCCTCTAAACCATGCTCTGCTAATTGGATTCTTGAATAGAATTGGAAATGAGTTTTTACACAAAAAAAACCAAGGATTTTTCATGCCGCCAAATTTTTGCAGCCACTCGTGTGCAGAATTTGAATATAGAACTTCAGTGTTATCTTCAAATAACACAACAGTTTAAATAGGACCAAAATATTAAAAATTAAAAAGAAAACTTCACTTGTTGCCAAATTACTTCATTTCTCTGCATAGATGAGACACCACTTGACCTTTTTTTGTATACTTTTAATGCACCCATGGGCTGAACTGCTGGCATAGTACTTCATTTCTGCTCAGACATGAGCCACCACTTTATCTATATGAACAATTTCTATTGAAACCAGTGGCTAAAACATCACTCCACCTTGGTGTGATGAGACTATAATTAATCCACAGATACTAGGTTCACTGCCTCCCCAGGGCTACACCTGATACAAGGGGTATGTATCACCTTATGTATCCACGGGGTTCATTAGCTCCCCCTCCATATGAATTAGGGATATTCCACAATACCAAAAAGGGCAACAGCACCACTTCAACGGTAAGAAAACTAAAAAAAAAAGGAGCAATGAAAATTTTGTGCTAAATAAATTATGGTTATGAGAAAGCCTAACCAAATATAAAGTAGTCCGGTGACAAATAAAAATAAAATAAACTCAAACACTAATTATTTTCACACAATGAATGAATATTTTTAATTTCAATAAATAGAGTTGATTTTAATTTTACAATATTCAATATGCGATATAAAATAAGAGTAATGATTCATCCCCCTTTTCCCCCCACTCCCTTTGACCCCCTCTCTCTCTCATTGGTTACCTTTTCTTTTTTTTTTCTTTTTTTTTTCTGCTCCTCCAATCACCTCCTGCCACGTGGCAAAGGGGGGTGAGGGGGTCACCCCCAAAAGGGGGTCCCAAGCATTATTCATAAAATAATGATCTCACCATCTAAGTCAAATCACAAAAGAGGAAAACACTACCATAGCAAAACCTCTTTATGCAAAAATTGCTCAAACTTTATATATCTAGTTTTAAGGGGGTTGAATCAAATTACAAATAAAGGAGTCCAAGCCTTTCATGGCAACTTACTAGTTAGCCAAAATGAAATGACTACAAGAGTAAAGGTTAATGAAACTATTATCCTACAAGGAATGTGATGCAGAGTTCGGTAATGATTATCATATTCCACAAATTAACCCAAGCAAAAAAAGATAAATGGCCTAAAAAAGAGAAGATAAGAAAGAAAGTTTCATGATTCACAGATTTAGAAACATGCAAACATCGGCTTGATTGTGTTCTCTATCGACCATCCAACAGCGTAATAGTGACTTCATTGGTTGAACTTGGTGCATCCCTGCTTGTTGAACAATCAGCATCACCTAAATTCATTTCTGTGAAAAAACCAGGATGTTTAGGTCGAGGCAATGCACCCTCACCACCCAACATTAGAACCACTGATGACATACTCGGCCTATCTTCTGGACATTGTTGCACACATAATAGACTAACATGGATTGATCTTAGTATTTCAGATAGATAACTTGAGTTCCTTAGAGATGCATCAATTAGTTCTATTGACCTGCCTTCTCTGTATAGAATCCATGCCTGAACAATTCAAGAATGATATTATCAGTACATGTTTAAAAATAATCATATGTATAATGTAAAAACACTTTAGTATTATACTAGATTGAAACTCACGTGCCCAAGAAGGTTGTGACGGTGGTTTGCATGAACAAAACCCCTGTTTCTCTTCCCGCTAACAATCTCCAGCACCAAAACACCAAAGCTAAAAACATCCGATTTTACTGAGAAATGCCCATGCACCGCGTACTCCGGAGGCATGTAGCCACTGCAGCAAAACAAACATTGAAGGAAAAAAAACAAAAACAAAAAGTAGAAACAAAATTTACTTGCATAGAGTTGTAGATATTCTTACTATGTCCCAACTACTCGGTTTGTATTCGCTTTTGTTTCATTTCCTCCAAAACTTCTAGCCAAACCAAAATCTGAAATTTTTGGGTTCATGTCAATATCTAGCAATATATTGCTGGCCTTGAGATCTCTATGGATAATTCTCAGTCTGGAATCTTGATGAAGATACAAAAGCCCCCGGGAAATTCCAATGATAATGTTAAAGCGCTTAGGCCAATCTAGTAATGTGCTTTGGGTTTGACCTGCTCAACATTTTTGCTTCATTAAACCATGCTCTGCTAATTGGATTCTTGAATAGAATTGGAAATGAGTTTTTACACAAAAAAAACCAAGGATTTTTCATGCCGCCAAATTTTTGCAGCCACTCGTGTGCAGAATTTGAATATAGAACTTCAGTGTTATCTTCAAATAACACAGTAGTTTAAATAGGACCAAAATATTAAAAATTAAAAAGAAAACTTCACTTGTTGCCAAATTACTTCATTTCTCTGCATAGATGAGACACCACTTGACCTTTTTTTGTATACTTTTAATGCACCCATGGGCTGAACTGCTGGCATAGTACTTCATTTCTGCTCAGACATGAGCCACCACTTTATCTACATGAACAATTTCTATTGAAACCAGTGGCTAAAACATCACTCCACCTTGGTGTGATGAGACTATAATTAATCCACAGATGCTAGGTTCACTGCCTCCCCAGGGCTACACCTGATACAAGGGGTATGTATCACCTTATGTATCCACGGGGTTCATTAGCTCCCCCTCCATATGAATTAGGGATATTCCACAATACCAAAAAGGGCAACAGCACCACTTCAACGGTAAGAAAACTAAAAAAAAAAGGAGCAATGAAAATTTTGTGCTAAATAAATTATGGTTATGAGAAAGCCTAACCAAATATAAAGTAGTCCAAGCTTTTGTTGGGCATGTATTCATAGATCAGCATCTTCTCTTCTCCTTGAATACAGCATCCTAGAAGCTTCACAAGATTCCGATGTTGAAGCTTTGCAATATATAAAACTTCATTCTTGAACTCATCGAGTCCTTGAGTAGAATTTCTCGAAAGTCTCTTCACAGCCATTTCTTGTCCCCCTCTAAGCTCACCCTGAGGAAAAATTACCATTTGTAAATTGTGGTAGGTGAACTATTTAGCCTCAAAGAAGGCTTGTTTACTGACTTCTCTTAGCTTTCCCCCTTTTTTTTCTTTATTCTTTATTTATTGTCTTTTACTACCTTGTGTCTAAAATGTTTGAAGTAAATTCTACCATGACCATTGATTTTTTTCATGCAGAAGACATAAATATTGATACATATTCAAACTTACCATTTGTTTGTTTTTCTAAAAAAAAAAAAAAGGAATCATATCATCAATAGAGGCATTTAAATGAGTTAAGGATGTGCAGTGTTAGATCAATAGCCCATTACTGTTAAGAATTGTACAACTTTCATTTTCCCTTGCTTTAGTCAACCAACTAGGCTAAAGCTCTTATTTATACTTTTCGAGATTATTCATCATCGTAGCTTTGTAAATGTTCAGTTTTAACAACTTTTTGTTAAAATAACTTCATGGTTTAAGAACTTTAATTTTGAGTACAAAAATTTAATTAAAGAAAATTGTTGTAACATTCAAGCTACTTGGGCTACATGTATATCGATATATGTGACTTTAGAAGGAAATGCATGACAGTTGATCTACATTGTTACCTTGTAAACAGAGCCAAATCCACCCTCCCCCAGCTTATTGTTTATTGAGAAGTTATCAGTAGCATTCACAATTGTAGCAAAGTCAAAAAATGGTAACTGGAAATCTTCCTTCTGGCTTTCACTATTGGTATAATTCTGCTCGGAGATGTATCCCATTATTACTGCAAAGAAAAAATAAGGATTTACAAGAAAATATGTAAGCCCACACACACACACAGAAAATAAGAAGAAGAAATGTCATCACAATATGAATCATTTGGATTACCTTTTCGCTTTAGCTGCTTGTGCTTTCTATTTTTCCAAACATACAAGAACAGGATCAGGCATAGCAGAAGCATTCCAGTTGTTACTGTCAAGATGACTACGATTTTCTCTCTCCTCTTCCCATTGGAGCTAACGTGGGGGACTATTTCTATCCAATCAAATGATCAAAATGGTTTATTGAAACATTGAATAATTGATATTTCCACGGAGTTTTTATAGTTCTCTATGTCTTATCAATACTTGAAACAAAACATAAACAGACTCTCCTCCATCAGTTTGTTTTGCACTTCACTCTTTCAAGTACCATTTATGAAATTATTAGATATAGTAATATGACCGGTAGTACCTTATGTCATGGACTCATGAAACTAACATATAAAAATTAAGAGTAAAATAATTAAGAAATTGTAATGGGGAAATAGTTCTCCATTTTCATCTAGATGCATAATGAGAAAATCAAATCAATAGAAGAGTATCTCAAGGGAGCAAAGAAATGAGAATGATAATGGAAATAACATTTCAAGGAGCAATCAAAAAGAATATGGCAATGAATTAAGAAAGCACATCTATTGAATTTTGATTTGCTGGTGGGTGGCCCATTTTGCTAACCATACATCAAAGCTTGATCATGTTGCAAGGCCTGATTTTCATTTCTACAAACTTATTGGCAGGCAACAATAGGCAAAAATTTCTACCACAACATAAGAGCTAGTCATCTATAAGTTTTGAGACAATGTAGTACCTAACTCAGAGGATGCCATCCTCACATAGAGATCTTCCCCGCCTTCACTGAACTCTCTGATATCAATCAGGTGGCCAGACCAAAGCAAGCAACCAGTTCCTCCTTCTCGTATGTCTAAATTTGCATATGCCATACAAGAGCAGTTTTCCAAGCACAGTGCCCCACATTCCTCAAGGGTCATGCTCACGTTGAACCATGAATTTCGTGTGTCTGGCAATTTGACCCTGGAATACTTTAGGAATCCATCTCCATGGTGACAAACAAAGGGTGTCCTCCTCATGCATCCATTTGACCAGTCTCCCCTATCCCAATCCTTCTGGTATCTTGGGACAAATTTGTTCAAACACCCACATATTGGGGAATTAGCAATGTTGCAGCTACCATAAGCACCGCACGCTGCATAATTGTCACAGCTATCAGCTGGTGCAGTGTTGTAGAGGTTCCAATCTTGTGTTCGATCAATCCATGTCCAGCGCCTCATAACACCATCCTGACTCAACACAAACCTTGAAATAACTGCGCTGTTGACAAGCTCGTAACCACCAGACACCTCCTGCTCGTCAAAAGTAAAATTGAAATTATAGATACTGTTTTTTTTCAAGTTCAATGTCCCACTAAACTGGACACCATTCCATGGTCCAGTCCTGTACGTCTCAGCAGCAATATTGTACAGAATTGATTGTGGATATCCACGAGTATCCATCCTGAAAGTATAATCACCTTGAGCTGGGTCATCGTTGTTCTTCCAAGATGACAAGTACCAATCTAGCCCGGTTAACAAGTTCCTTCCTACCTTCATACCTGGTAAAAGCGTGTCACCTGGATAATCAAAGCTCTGCCAAAGAAAATTCTGTGGGTTATCATCATTTGTGTTTCTCACAATAAAATTTCCTGAGTCCAAAAGTTGTGCAACTGGGTTCTGTACCGATCTTGACGTATTCGAAGACCATATCCTGTTGCTAGTTCCATTGAGTAGGACAAGAATTCCTGGGCTAGTGACCTTTAGGACTCCTGATGCATTGGTGATTGGAGTTTCTCTGTTAGCAACCCATACCACGGTCCTGGTTGTTATTGTCTTGTACCATATTCCCAAATATCGATTCTTGGAACTACCGGGGCTGAAAAATCCCAGTTCAAAGCTTCCGCCAGATGAAATTATGGTCTCGTTGTCTCTAATGAGTTGAGTTGTTGTTATGGTGTCTACAGCTTCCGAGATTATGAAACTGGAAAATAAAGAAGATAAGAATAGAAGTATGGTGAAGCCTTCAGTTGATGTCCTCATGCTTCTAATCTTGGTGTATTTCTGTTCAATAATTATTCCACAGATAAGATAAGAATGACAATAAACCAAAATTCTCAGTCTTCAAAGTCTTCAAATTTGACTCTTAGCATAGGTTTAGGGTAACTTACAAATACACCCCATAATTATTTAAAATACAAATTCTTCGGTGTAGTTTAGAAAATTATAAATACCACTCTTCTCAAAAAAAATTTATTTAATAAAATTAATTAAAAAAATAAAATTCCTAACAATTTTTTTATATAATAATAAAATTATTTGAATTATTAATTGAAATAAATTTATATCATTATTAAAAATTATTAATCAACTTAATAATTTAATAATAAAATGAGTTATTTGTAATAAAATTAGAAACTTTATAGATTTTAGAGCCGTTTTTCTCTCAAGAGTTTTGAGTGTGAGGATTTGACAATCAATTAATTATACACTTTCATAGCTATAGTTAAATATCGTTGTATCTCTTTAATTTAAAATTGTGCATTTAAAACTATTAAACTATTATAAAAATAAAAATAAAAATAAAAAGTAATGTTATGTACACCTTCTCAAAAGATACGTATTATATACAGATTATATTATTTGTCAGCATAATTCAATAATATAGTCATAATTAATATAAGGGAAATTTGGCTATAGATCCCATTTACCTTCCTTTCATTGTTAGAAAAAAATTATACTTTCTAAACCCCCTCATAATTATAAAATCTTGCATAAAGGACAAAATTTATTATTTAAATATTTTATCAGACTATTATACCCTCACATATACACAATCCAGATACAAAATTTATCTTCTCTCTCGTCTCTCACTTCTAACCCTAGATTCCTCCATGGCCGGAGTTGTGTCATTCCTAAGCTCCGACGATCTCTCTCTGCGTCTTCTCAACTCTCCTCCCTCAACTCTCCTTCAACTGTTCATCTTCTATCTCGTCTCTCTCTTCTAATCCTAGCTTCCTCCATAGCCGGAGCTGTGGAAAACTTGCAAATCGCACTAATATATATATATATATATATGTGTGTGTGCGTTTGTGTGTTTTGAGATTTGAATTCGAATATATAGATTTTTGAAAGCTCAAAGTTTTAAAAATCTGAAAAATCTGTAAAATCTGAAAAATCTAAAGAACCGGGGTATGAAAAATTGAGATTTCTCTAAAATTTTCAAATTATAGGCCTGATTCAAGAATTATAGGCATTATTCAATATTTTTCAAAGTAAACATCGATTGATTCAAGGATTATAGGCCTGATTCAAAGCTCAAAGCTCAAAGTTCCATCGATTTTTCAGAGTAAACATCAAATTTCATTTGATAGAACCAGAGTAAAATTTTACTCTGATTCTATTGCTCTGTTTTTTTCATTTGACAAAATCAGAGTAAAATTTTACTTTTAGCTTCAGAGTCTTACAGTTTACTTATTTTTCAGAGTAAAATTTTACTTTTAGTTTCAGAGTGTAAAATTTTACTCTCATTTATAGTAAAATTTTACTTTTATACAGAGTAAAATTTTACTTTCATACAGAGTAAAATTTTACTCTGAAATACATAGTGAAAATGTCTTAATAGGAAAGCTGATAGATATGAGGGTAATATAGTAAAAGAAACAAATTTTAAAATATCAGGGAATTTTGAAAGTACTTATATAATTCTTATCCTTTTGAAAGAGATATTAGATAGTGAGGGGGTTATGACCAAATCCCCTTTAATATAAAAAAATTAAGTTCTAATTGAATATCACAAGAAATAAAACCAAACAACTCTTGAATTATAACAAAAACAATGTCATAATCAATATCACAATATATCATAATAAGTCAGGATAATAGACACAAAGATCATAATTAAAAGTACATATATAAAATTTCCTATAAAAAAATACAAATATAAATGTAAAAATGATGCAATTTTATAGCGGAAAGCAGAGATGATTATGGATCCAAGGGTCGTCACGATTTTGCCCTTTGACAGAAGCCTCTCCCGACCTTCCTCTTGAATGGACGATTATACCCTTTGCACAGTGCTTCTCCGAAAGCGAGGAGGCTTAGCTGTTTGCCGAATCAACCGAGTAACCGACCTTTGCGACTGTACCTGAGTTGTCATCCCATTCCATGGCCTCTCCTTCTCCGAAATCCCAAACCCACTATTTATCTCCGCAATCTCAATCTCAATCTCATCCCAACCCATCTCTTTCTATCTCTACTACTTTCTCTGTCTACCAACCTCTTTACATCGTCTTCAATGGCCCCCAATACCCAATCCTATTTCGAAGATTTGTTGCCCACCATGGCCGACAAGTTGGGAGGGGAGGGTTGATCGAAGAGCTCTGCAATGGGTTTAGGTTGCTGATGGACGGTGGTCATCACGTTCGATAGCCTCAAGAAAAACGCAGCCCTGTTAGGGTTGCAGGAATTGAGGGAGGATGATCTGAGGGGAATGTTGAGAGAAGGCGATTTAGACGGTGATGGAGCACTCAATCAGATGGAGTTTTGCGTTCTGATGTTCAAATTGAGCCCCGAGTTGATGGAACACTCTCAGTTTTTGTTACAGGAAGCCCTTCAACAGGAACTGACGGACTTGTATGGTTGTTTAGTTTCGTTTTACTGAAAACAGTAAAATTCTACTTCCTTCTTTTATGTCTTTTTTGGTTTTTAATGAACTTTTTTAATATTTTAAATAAATTTTTTAATTTATAGATATACCTAATATAAATATATTTAAAAAATAAAAAATTTATGAAAAATATTTTTTAAAAATTTACTAAATACAAAAAATACAAAAAAATACGAGAATTTAATATATTTTTTATATTTTTATGTATTTAATAATTTTTTAAAATATTTTTTCACAAATTTTTTACTTTTTAGATATATCTAAGGTGCATCTAAAAAATTAAAAAAATATTTAAAATTTTAAAAATATTTACTAAAAACAAAAAAACACGAAAAATAAAAAAAATTCAATTTTCAAAAAACTTAATACAGAAAACTCAAACCAAAATTTTCTTCTCTTTTTTATTTTTTATTTATCTTTTATTTTTTTTATTTTTTTATTTTGAGTACAAAAAGACTTGTATTAATTCTAATTATGATTCTTTTTTCATACAAATCTTTGTCTTGCTGATTGTTTCGGATGGATTCTGGGCTTTTATTTATTTATTTATTTATTTATTTATTTTGGTGTACATGTATACATGTTTTGCAAGACAATAAAATTAAAAGAGGAAATAAGTGCAGCAAAAAATAAAAATAGATAATGCACCAATAAATTTTAAATTAAAATCTTTTAAACTATTTAGTCCTGTCTTTTATTTTATGGACTAATAAGTCTCATTTCAATGTTAATGACATATTTATACATTTTTGCAGTGCGTGTTAGCCCAAACGTTAGGGGTGAATGTGAGTTTTGGTGATGTTGAAATTACTTGTGTGTTCAAAAGTGTGATATATAGTTTGTTGGCTCCCTCTACCCAATCAAAATGGCAAAGACAAAGATGGAAAGTTCTCGGTTTGTGATTAATCCAAATTTGACAACATTTAATCGTCATTGTGTGTTGCCCAAATTAGCATTTGATTTCTCCCCCAAATCCTAGAAAAACAAGAGCTCCATTTTGGCAGTATATTTTTGTCGGCGATTAGGAGCGGGCACTAAACCATTTTTACATTTGTGTTGACATTAACAACGTGTAGCTGGCAAGTTTACATCTACCCTTTGTTGTCGTTAGTGAGGTGTGTGGTTACTGATGTTGTTTTCTTTGTTTTTATAAAAGAATCGAATTGTTCAGTGAATTTTAGATTAAATGTTGTGATTGCATCCTAATTTGGTTACATACACTATGTGTAATGCTGTTGTGTGTTAATGGTATAGTGGGTTTCATATTTGAATAGGAGTATAGTCTTGTAGTGCTTATTCTTGTACTGGATTTAGTTTTGCTAGTTTCAGTTGGTGGGTTAGTGTGCCTTTCTGGTTTGTGGTTCATGTGTTGTTTGCAATGTTGTAATGTTAATGCCATTTGTTGTGTTGGGTTTATAATAGTGTTATAATATACCACCAAGTCCTTTGGTTTTTGAGTGTATGGACTAAGTTGGTGGTTTGGAATGTTACTAACATTTGTGGTAGTGTGAATGTGATATGAACTGTGTCCATGTTAATTAAGTTCGGTGTCAGCATCATTTGACTGATTTGTTTTCGTTGTCATGTGGTAATATGGTTGGGATTCCTATTTGTTGAGTTTGATTAAGTTGGTCTTAATATGTAATGTGCATGACTTACGTGTTCCGCAATGTGTGATATTGTTGATGTCCATGTTAGCAAATGTTTCACGTAATGACGCGTCGGGTGTTAAGATGTAATAAATTAATGTTGTGTTTACTAATGTTAATTAATTCCAATGTAATGCTGGTATTTTCTTAACGTGTTGTTGTCATTCGGTGTGTTTCAAAACGGACGACGATGAAAACCCATGAACCCCACCTCTAAGTGGGCGACGTAATGTTGTTTTGTTAATAGTTTGGTGGATTTTGTATTTCAACGGGATTATAATCTTGTAGTGTTTATTCTTGTTCTGGATTTAGTTCTGCAAGTTTCAATTGATGTGTTAGTGTGCCTTTCCGGTTTGGGTTCATGCTCCATTGACAACGTTGGTGTTGTAATACACTGCCAAGCCCCCTGTTTTGAGTGTTTGGACTATGTTGGTAAATATAGAATGTTAATAACATTTGTGGTAGTATAAATGTAATGTTGATCGTATCGATGTTTAATTAAGTTCAGTGTCAATATCATTTTATTGATTTGTTTTTGTCGTTGTGTTGTAATGTGGTTGGAGTCCCCTGTTTGTTGGGTTTGTTTAGGTTGGTATTGGTGCATAATGTGCATGACTTATGTGTTCCGTAATGTATGGTATTTTTTGACGTCCATGTAAGAAAATGTTTTACGTAATTTATGGTATTTTTTGACATCCATTTTTATTTTTATTTTTAATTTGTTTGAGAAGTGTTTTTGTGAGCTCCTATCTTGTGCACGATTGGATTGATCTCCTATTTTGACTAATGTGACAAGAAATGCCAATCAATGGTGTCACACAAGAGTGGTCGGCTCCCTTTAAGTCCATCTAAGTCAAATTCGTCTGGTCTTTCATATCTGTTATCCGCCATCAATGGTGTCACATTCCCCAACATTAGGAGAATCCGACACAGCACAATCAACTCCTAACCCATCACTCCGCGTTTGAATAAGCACATCAAAATGATCAAGGCCGAACTATTTTGCAAGAGACGACATGTTTTGAACATTATCATCACAATCAACCTTAAACTTATTGTACCTAAGAATGATGAACAAAAAATAAACCAACCTCGGTGCGAAACTATCAAACTTCCCACATACACCATCAACCAACTATACAAATGTGAATCATGATGAAGACGAACAATTGCATTGGTCTGATCGTAAGTACACAACAACAAAACTACAAACACCATACCTGCAATAACAAACAACACAATGACATAACACTACCATCATTAACACCACATCCTCCGAACATGACACAGCTCATCCCCCCCACACAAACAATAAAATAACATCATAAAAAAACAACGTGGCATTGTCAATGCGAACATCGAACGTTGACACACCCCACAAAACTAAACGCATCAAACAAACACAACGAATCAACATCAGACCATACATAAAACTCACCTAAACCAAGCCGCACAACCTATCAAAATGCAAACCCAGAAACAACACCGAAGAATAATCAACAACCTACAACTCCTACAATAAAAAAAATGAATCCACATCAACATCAACACATCAAACGGGTAAAATCATCAAACCCACCAATCACTCCAAGCAATCCCCTCCGAAAAAATAGAAACGTCCCAACATACCTTATCCACACACACACACAACATCAGGAAAAAATCAAAACAAAATCACATTCAAGGGCAAACAAATAAACTCACCCCTCCAAATCAAACAAATACAACATAACTAAAAATAAAAAGGACCAATTGTTCTAAAAGAAAACTTATAAGATTAAATGGAACAACATTTCCCCATATGGGATTTATGAATAGTTTTTACAAAAAACAGGAAAAAAAAATATAATGGGTGTTTGGAAAGTAAGTTTTTATGTAAATTTTTTTAGTTATAGGATATTATTGGATAAAAAAATTTTAATGTTTGCAAAGATAGTTAGATTTTTTTGTGGTTGAATATGATGTTTGTAAGAAAAAAAGTGAAATGATTATAGGATTGGATGTGATATTTTGTTTGGATTTGTTTTTTGCGGTTTTGCAAAACCTTTGTCTTTTAGTAGAAAAAATCAAAAAAAAATCTGGGAACCAAGTTCCCAAACACCATAGTATTTCAATTGTTAAAATGTATAAAAAAAAATTTGGCTACACCCACTGTGTAGTTATTTTCTCAAATTAAAAATGAGAAACTAACTGAGCAACAATGCTACTTATGAAGCCAGTACCTATATTTCTATGAGATTAAAGATGTATATAAGATAATCACATACTGAATGAAATTTTTTTATTTCAATAAATAGAGTTGATTTTAATTTTACATTATTTCACCATCTAAGTCAAATCACAAAAGAGGAAAACATCACCATAGCAATACCTCTGTATGCAAAAATTGCTCAAACTTTACATATCAAATTTTAAGGGGGTTGAATCAAATTACAAATAAAGGAGTCCAAGACTTTCATGGCAACTTACAAGTCAGTCAAAATGAAATGACTCCAAGGGTAAAGGTTTAAAGAAAACTAATATCCTACAAAGAATGTGATGCAGAATTGGATATATTCCACAAATTAACCCAAGCAAATAGATAAATGGCTTAAACAAGAGAGAATAGAAGGAAAGAAAGAGAGAAAGCTTCATGATTCATGGGTTTAGAAACATTCAAACATTGGCTTAATTATGTTCTCTATCGACCATCTAAAGTAACAGTGACTTCATTGGTTGAACTTGGTGCATCCCTGCTTGTTGAACAATCAGCATCACCTTGATTCATTTCTGCAAAAAAACCAGGCTGTTTAGGCCGAGGCAATGCACCCTCACCACCCAACATCAGAACCACTGATGACATACTCGGCCTATCTTCTGGACACTGTTGCACACATAATAAACTTACATGGATTGATCTTAGTATTTCAATTAGATAACTTGAGTTCCTTAAGAGACACATCAATTAGTTCTATTGACCTGCCTTCTCTATAGAGAATCCATGCCTGAACAATTCAAGATGATATTATCAATACATGTTTAAAAACAATCATATGTAAAATGTAAAAACATTTTAGTATTATACTAGTTTGAAACTCACATGCCCAAGAAGGTTGTGATGGTGGTTTGCATGAACGAAACCTCTGTTTCTCTTCCCGCTAACAACCTCTAACACCAAAACACCAAAGCTAAAAACATCCGATTTTACTGAGAAATACCCATGCACTGCGTACTCCGGAGGCATGTAGCCACTGCAGCAAAACAAACATTGAAGGAACAAAAACAAAAACAAAAACAAAAAGTAGAAACAAAATTTACTTGCATAGAGTTGTAGATATTCTTACTATGTTCCAACTACTCGGTTTGTATTCGCTTTTGTTTCATTTCCTCCAAAACTTCTAGCCAAACCAAAATCCGAAATTTTTGGGTTCATGTCAATATCTAGCAATATATTGCTGGCTTTGAGATCTCTATGGATAATTCTCAGTCTGGAATCTTGATGAAGATACAAAAGCCCCCGGGAAATTCCATCGATAATGTGAAAGCGCGTCGGCCAATCTAGTAATGTGCTTTGGGTTTGATCTGTTCAACATTTTTGCTTCATTAAACCATGCTCTGCTAATTGAATTCTTGAATAGAACTGGAAATGACGTTTTGGCAAAACCAAGGATTTTTCATGCCAGCAAATTCTTGCAGCCGCTCATGTAAAGAATTTGGAATATAGAACTTCAGTGTTATCTTCAAATAACACAATAGTTTAACTAGGACCAAAATATTAAAAATTAAAAAAGAAGAAAAGGAAAACAAAAAAAAAAAAACTTCACTTGTTGGCAAATTACTTCATTTCTCTGCATAGATGAGACACCACTTGACCTTTTTTTGTAAACTTCTAATGAACGCATAGGCTGAACTGCTGGCATAGCACTTCATTTCTACTCAGACATGAGCCACCACTTTACCTAGATGGAAAACAAAAAAAAAAAAAACTTCACTTGTTGGCAAATTACTTCATTTCTCTGCATAGATGAGACACCACTTGACCTTTTTTTGTAAACTTCTAATGAACGCATAGGCTGAACTGCTGGCATAGCACTTCATTTCTACTCAGACATGAGCCACCACTTTACCTAGATGAACAATTTCTATTGAAACCAGTGGCTAAAACATCACTCCAACACAACTGGTGTGATGAGACTATAATTAATCCACAGATACTAGGTTCACTGCCTCCCCGGGACTACCCCTCCATATGAATTACCCTGTGTATCCACGGGGTTCATTAGCTCTGCCTCCATATGAATTAGGGATATTCCACAATACCAAAAAGGGAAACAGCACCACTTCATTGATAAGAAAACTAAAATAAGAGCAATGGAATTGTTGTGCTAAATAAATTATGGTTTCGAGAAAGCCTAACCAAATATAAAGTAGTCCAAGCTTTTGTTGGGCATGTATTCATAGATCACCATCTTCTCTTCTCCTTGAATACTGTAGAAATTTTAATGTATAAAGAGAAATAGAGAATTGTATAGATATTGATTGTATTATTGATTGATATAATGTTATATTACAATGATTCCTATATATAGAAAAGAGGATGTGGGAAGAGAATAGGTGAGTGTGTAGTAGGTATGGAGTAGGTGAGTGTAGTAGGTATGGAGTAGGTGAGGAGTAGGTGGAGAGTAGGTGAAGTAGGTGAGTGTGTAGTAGGTGGTAGTGGCAGATGTGTAGTAGGTGAATTTTAACAAAAAACTTATTATATTTTTAAATCTTAGTAGTGGATGCGCGAGCAGAGATAAGTGTGTTAAAGGCAGAAAGGAGCTTCCATGGATGTCTCTTAGCTCCTTTATTCGACTGAAAAAAAAATGGAAAAAATATATACATATTTATTTATATATACATACATAATAGAGAGAGAGAGAGTATGAAGGACCTCCGAATGGTGTCAAGGGAGTAAGAGTACAACCACGGATATGTGAGAGGCGAGGTGAACGGCGATAGAGGCTAGACGATGATGCGGGTGCCGCCGCCGACATAGCGGAGGAGGGGTGTAAGAAAATGTTGAAGAAGGGAAGGTATGTGTAGAAAATAAGCGGAATAGGTTGAGGTCCGGCGGGCGGCCAAGGCGAGGTTGCCGCCCGCCGGTGAAGCGAGAAATACTAAGGTCTTAAGGAATCTATGTCGGGACAGTTTACAGAGTCTTGTCGGACCCATTAAGGAGCTAACCGGAATCAATGTCGGGACAGTTTACAGAGTCTTGTCGGACCCATGAAGGAGCTAACCAGAATTAATGTCGGGACAGTTTGCAGAGTCTTGTCAGACCCCTGAAGGAGCTAACCGGAATCAATGTCGGGACAGTTTACAGAGTCTTGTCGGACCCATGAAGGAGCTAACCGGAATCAATGTCGGGACAGTTTACACTTCATCCAAAGGCGTGCCCGACAGAAAGCGTCGAGCCATCAAAAGGTGAGCCGGAGACGCGGCGAGGCACGTGAGCGACAGAATGGTGTGTCGGCCGCGTCGTCAGTGTCGATATAAACCAATGCGGAGGCTGTGCTTGAGGCAAAAGCGAAGACAAAAAAACCTGGGAAAAAACTTCTGAAAAACTCTTCATTTTCTGAGAGAGATATTCGTTTTTCTGAGAGATTGCCTCTAAGAGCTGCAAATCTTGAAACACTCCCCTTCCGAACATTATCAGTCTGAAATTGCTATTTCGCTGAAACACTCAGCAACCCAAAAAACATGGCCTCTTCTCCCCGTTCAGCCACCCAGAATATGGCCTCGTCATCCCGTGGTCTACTCACTCTCTTTCCCGACCTCAACGAGTCAACAAGAGAGATAACTGGTGCGGAGGCCCGTGAACCTCAACCCAACACCTCTGGGTTTGCTCCGTTGAACTTTCCGATGCGGTCGGTGGAGCAAAAAATGGCGGTGCAAACTGATATTGAGGCCAATCAGTATACTCTGAAGTCATGTATGGAAACCATGACTGCGGTCACAAACTTGTCGCACCGGCTGCAGAGCAGGACAAATGAGGTGCAACAGTTAAACTCCCAGCTGGCTCTGCTCCAACGCATGTATAAGGATGCGCGAGCAGAGATAAGTGTGCTAAAGGCAGAAAACAAGGAGCTGAAGCGTAAAGCCACCGTTATGTTCCGATTTGGAGGGCCGCCATATGCTGTAGTGGAGGAGCAGGTGGGAGTGAATGTGCTCGGCGGCGTGGGAAACACGGAGGCAACACCGGCTAGGGCCGTCCAGGACGGAGGCAAGAAGAAAAGACCGGTGGCAGAATAGAGGAAGTGAGGTCGGTGGGTAACCGTCTGCAGAAAAGAAAACAAATCGTTTTGTGTTTTTTTTTTTTTTTTTTTTTTTTTTTTTTTTTTTTTTTTTTGAAAAAGAGATATATATATATATATATAAAATAAAGAAAATTTGGAACAACATGATGGCGGTGTGTATGGATGTGATAATGAGAATGAAATGGGTGTGATTAAATAAATAAAAGAAGAATGGGTGTGGACCGTGAGATGTTGAACTAAAAGTGGACTTTGGGCAGAGAGAGAGAAGTTTGGGTTGTAAAGAATTTGTTGACACTGGATTTAGGAGAGTGTGAACATATTGACGATGAAAAGTGGGAACCAACCCATGTGGGTGGAGGTGGTGTGTAGGGTGTTTAAACACTTAATTAAAAAGGAAGAGAGAGAGACTTTGCTTTCTGTGCTGAAATAGAAACTGTGCAGGTTACTGTCTTACACTTCTTCAGGCTTGACTCACTGCTCTCTGTTTTTACTTCTCACACACTGACCGTCCAAGTGAGTGACAAGGAAAGCAATAGCATTGAAGTTGCCATTCCAGCAAAGCTTGTCATTAAAAGACTTTTCCTTCCTTGTTTGTCCATCAAAGAGGATGCTATTGTTGTACCAAAAACATTTGATGCCCCAACGAGAGCACTGGCTGCAACATCAGATGCGATTCCAACACTGCGAAATACAGACGTAGAATAATATACAACAGCATTTATTCCAGTCAACTGTTGAAACAAGAAAAGTGCTGCACCAACACTGACAACTTTCCAATAGCGGCTACTAAAAAGATCAAACCAACCAGCTTCTGGTTCTGAAGAACCTTGACTAGCTGCACTTAAGTCATTCATAACCTCAGCAACTTTTTCTTTTCCAAATAGAGTTTTTATAGACATTTCAGCTTGAGAAATTTTTCCTTGCTGATAAAGCCACCGAGGGTTTTCTGGAGAAAATGCCATTCCCAATGCCAATAGAACAGAGAGTATCATTGCAATACCAAACATTGACCTCCACCATAAAGGGTTTCCTGCTAAGGGCAACCCAGCCACCAATGCTGCAAGAATCCCAATACAGATAAACAGTTGGTTGACAGATCCAAGTGTGCCACGAATTTCAGTTGGTGAGATCTCAGATATGTAAAGTGGCACAATAGCAGATGAGATGCCAATTCCAATTCCAGCAAGTAAACGGCAAGAAGCTCACATCAAGACAGCTCGTTGACTTCTACCTGAACCGAATCCAGGAGCTGAATCCGGTGCTTCGCGGCGTAGTGGAAGTGATGCAGAAACAGTTGAGAGATGAGAGGTCCGGCGGGCGGCCAAGGCAAGGCTACCGCCCGCCGAGAGAGGATGTGGGAAGAGAATAGGTGAGTGTGTAGTAGGTATGGAATAGGTGAGTGTAGTAGGTATGGAGTAGGTGAGGAGTAGGTGGAGAGTAGGTGAAGTAGGTGAGTGTGTAGTAGGTGGTAGTGGTAGGTGTGTAGTAGGTGAATTTTAACAAATACAGCATCCTAGAAGCTTCACAAGATTCCGATGTTGAAGCTTTGCAATATATGAAACTTCATTCTTGAAATCATCGAGTCCTTGACTAGAATTTCTCGAAAGTCTCTTCACAGCTATTTCTTGTCCCCCTTTAAGCTCACCCTGAGGATAAATTACCATTTGTAAATTGTGGTAGGTACACTATTCAGCCTCAAATAAGGCATGTTTACTGACTTTTCTTTGCTCTCCCCCCCCTCCCCTTTTTTTCCTTTCATTTTTTTTTCATGAACTTGAATTTTGAGTACTGAAATTTAATTAAAGAAAATTGTTATAACATGTAGAAATTTAATGTATAAAGAGAAATGATTGTATTATTGATTGATTCTAATTATTGTGCTGTTGATATTACAAGGCTACAAGGCTTCCTATTATATAGGAGAGGATTTGGGAGTAGGTGAGTGTGTGTGGTAGGTGTAGGAAAGTAGGTGAAGTAGGTGAATGTGTGTGGTAGTGGAGGTGGTAGGTGGAGTGGGTTATGGTAAATTCTAACATAACATTCAAGCTTCTTGGGCTCCATGTATATCGATATATGTGACTTTAGAAGGAAATGCATGACAGTTGATCCACATCGTTACCTTGTAAACAAGGCCAAATCCACCCTCCCCCAGCTTATTGTTTATTGAGAAGTTATCAGTGGCATTCACAATTGTAGCGAAGTCAAATAAAGGTAACTGGAAATCTTCCTTCTGGCTTTCACTATTGGAGTAATTTTGCTTGGAGATGTATCCCATTATTACTGCAAAGAAAAAATAAGGATTTAAAAAAATATGTAAGCCCCCCACACACAAAAAATAAGAAGAAATGTTGGATTACCTTTTCTCTTTAGCTGCTTGTGCTTTTTCTTTTTCCAGACATACAAGAACAGGCTCAGGCATAGCAGAAGCATTCCAGTTGTTACTGTCAAACTGACTATGATTTTCTCTCTTCTCTTCCCATTGGAGCTGTTAGAATTTACCACCTACTTCACCTACTTTCCTACACCTACCACACACACTCACCTACTCCCAAATCCTCTCCTATATAATAGGAAGCCTTGTAGCCTTGTAATATCAACAGCACAATAATTAGAATCAATCAATAATACAATCATTTCTCTTTATACATTCTCTTCCCATTGGAGCCAACTTGGGGGACTGTTTCTATCCAATCAAATGGTCAAAATGGTTTATTAAAACATTGAACAATTGATTTTGCCACGCAGTTTTTTATAGTTCTCCATTTCCAATCAATAGTCAAAACAAAGCTTCAACAAACTCTCCTGCATCAGTTTGTTTTGCACTTCACACTTTCAAGTACTATTTATGAAATTATTAGGTATAGTACTATGACCTGTAGTACCTTACGTCATGGATTCATGAAGCTAACATATAAAAATTAAGAGTAAAATAAGTAAGAAATTGTAATTGCAACCAAGATCTAGCAAGAGATAATTGCCCTGACCTACGACTGAGATGTGTGCATTGACAGGTATCTAGAGAAGCAACCTAAGGGAATAGGTCCCCATTTTCATGTAGCTGCATAATGAGGAAATAAAATCAAGAGAAGAGTATCTCAAGGAGAGCAAGGATCCTCTAGAGTTTTTTTTCCCTAAAGTTTCCTAGAGTGGTGTGTTGTATGGTTGAGATTTAATGACAAGTCACATCAATTTTTTAGCATTAAATCTCACCCATACAACACACCACTTTAGGAAACTTTAGGAAAAAAAAACTCTAGAGGATCCTTGGTGTCTCAAGGAAGGCAGCCAAGAAATGAGAACGATAATGAAAATAGCATATCAGGGAGCAATAAAAAAGAATATGGAAATGAATTAAGAAATATAGAGAATTCCAAGAAATTTGAATTGTTATTCATTTTTCATTTTATATTTGAAACTATCAGAGTCATCGAGCCATCTATGCTAAGCCCCTCCATTAAATTCTGCTTTGCTGGTGGGTGGCCCCTTTTGCTACCCATACATCAAACCTTGATCATGTTGCAAGGACTGATTTTCATTTCTATATACTTATTGGCCCGTGACAGTACGCAAAATTTCTACCAGAACATAACAGCTTGTCATCTATAAGTTTTGAGACAAAGTTGTACCTAACTCAAAGGATGCCATCCTCACATAGAGATCTTGCCCATCTTCGCTGAACTCTCTGATATCAATCAGGTCGTCAAACCAGAGCAGGCAACCAGTTCCTCCTCCGCTTATGTCTAAATTTGCATATGCCATACAAGAGCAGTTTTCCAAGCACATTGTTCCGCATTCCTTAAGGGTCATGCTCACGTTGAACAATGAATTTTGTGTGTCTGGCAATTTGATCCTGGAATACTTTAGGAATCCATCTCCATGGTGACAAACAAAGGGTGTCCTCCTCATGCACCCGTTTGACCAATCTCCCCTATCCCAATCCTTCGGGTATCTTGGGACAAATTTGTTCAAACACCCACATACTGGGGAATTAGTAATGTTGCAGCTACCATAAGCACCGCACACTGCATAATTGTCACAGCTATCAGCTGGTGCAGTGTTGTAAAGGTTCCAATCTTGTGTTCGATCAATCCATGTCCAGCGCCTCATAACACCATCCTGACTCAACACTAACCTTGAAATAACTGCGCTGTTGACAAGCTCATAACCAGCAGACACCTCCTGCTCATTAAAAGTAAAACTGAAATTATAGATACTGTTTTTTTTCAAGTTCAATGTCCCACTAAACTGGACACCATTCCATGGTCCAGTCCTGTACGTCTCAGCAGTAACATTGCTTGCAATCAATTGTGGATATCCACGAGTATCCATCCTGAATGTATAATCACCTTGAGCTGGATCATCATTGCTCTTCCATGATGACAAGTAGCAATCTAGCCCGGTTAACAAGTTCCTTCCCACCTTCATACCTGGTAATAGTGTGTCACCTGGATAATCAAAACTCTGCCACAAAAAATTCTGTGGGTTATCATCATTGGCGTTTCTCACAACAAAATTTCCTGAGTCCAAAAGTTGTGCAACTGGGTTCTGTACTGATCTTGACGTATTAGAAGACCATATCCTGTTGCTAGTTCCATTGAGTAGGACAAGAATTCCTGGGCTGGTGACCTTTAGGACTGAGTTTCTCTGTTAGCAACCCATACCACGGTCCTGGTTGTTATTTTCTTGTACCATATTCCCAAATATCGATTCTTGGAACTACTGGGGCTGAAAAATCCCAGTTCAAAGTTTCCGCCAGATGAAACTATGGTCTCATTGTCTCTAATGAGCTGAGTTGTTGTTATGGTGTCTACAGCTTCGGAGATTATGAACCTGGAAAAAAAAGAGGATAAGAATAGAAGTATGGTGAAGCCTTCAGTTGATGTCCTCATGCTTCCAATCTTGGTGTACTTCTGTTCCATAATTATTTATTCCACAGATAAGAATGACAATAAACCAAAATTTTCCCTCTTTTGGTCTCCAAATTTGACACTTAGCATACTTTTTACAATAAAAAAATTCAATCATTGAGCTGGAAGACAGAATTCTGCAGAATACTAATAATCAAAACCGATAAATTTGAATAGTCAACACTTTCGCCCGTGTTAGTCATTTTAATTATGCTCTGATTGGCATAATAAGCACAACATCAAATTGGCATTTGGGTATTTTTTTTTTATGGAAAACAATGTACTGAGACTTGTTAATACGTCATGGACAATCTCATTTGCTTTAACATATTTTGTCTGCAACCAACTTAGGGAGAGAAAAAGTTGAAACCTGTCATGATCACTGCCGAACTTTTGAATTCTGCGGATGTGGAGGATGCATATCTTGGTCTTCTGCTATGAATTATTTGAAATAAGGCTACCATTATCACTGCCAAACTTTTGACTCTTAGCACAATCTCATCGCGCTTTGAGTTTTGACATAACAAATAGTTAATTTAGGTAAATAAATAATGCCGGGTATTCGGATTCATCATTAGAGGGGGATCAGATATACAACACTGAACACTAGAGCTGATTAATTCATGGAATTCCAATCCAGACGGAACTGCCCTTATTCTGAGCACTCTTGTTTACAAATAGTGTCAGTCATGGTTGGAGCAAATATAAAACCCTTCTTGATCATGGAACTTGGATCATTTTAAAGCTCATTTTTCTCTCAAGAGTTTTGAGTGTGAGCTCCTCAAATTTGGGATTTGACAATCGGTTAATTATAGACACACTTTTTTTTAAGTATTATCAAATATTACTTTGTCTCTTTAATTTTAAAACTGTGAATTTTTTTAAACCATTAAACTATAAAAGAAACATACAAATGCAAATGTAAAAATCATACAATTGTATAATTAAAGAGGGCTAAGCACAAGGATCTTCCTCACCTGAATAGACGATTTTACCCTTTGACAGCCAGCAAAAGTCCCCCATGCCATGAAGAAGGCAAGAAGCCTCCCCTGACCTTCCTCATGAATGGACAATTATACCCTTTGCCCAGTGCTTCTCCGAAAGCGAGGAGGCTTACCCATTTGCTGAATCAACCGAGTACCCGACCTTTGCGACTGTACATGAGTTGTCATCCCATTCCATGGCCTCTCCTTCTCCGAAATCCCAAACCCACTATTTATCTCAATCTCAATCTCAATCTCATTCTCATTCTCATTCTCATTCTAATCCCCACAACCCATCTCTCTCAATCTCATTCTCATTCTCATTCTCATTCTCATCCAAACAACCCATCTCTCTCAATCTCATTCTCATTCTCATTCTCATTCTCATTCTCATTCTCATCCAAACAACCCATCTCTTTCCATCTCTTCAACTTTTTCTGTCTACGAATCTGTACATCTCCTTGAATGGCGTCCAATACCCAATCCTATTTCGAAGATATGTTGCCCACCATGGCCGACAAGTTGGGCGGGGAAGGGTTGATCGAAGAGCTCTGTAATGGGTTTCGGTTGCTGATGGACGGTGATAAAGGGGTCATCACGTTCGATAGCCTCAAGAAAAACGCAGCCCTGTTAGGGTTGCAGGAATTGAGGGACGATGATCTGAGAGGAATGTTGAGAGAAGGCGATTTCGACGGTGATGGAGCACTCAATCAGATGGAGTTTTGTGTTCTGATGTTCAGATTGAGCCCCCAATTGATGGAACACTCTCAGTTTTTGTTGGAGGAAGCTTTGAATGATTTATATTGATTTTTCTTGTTTTTTTCACACACATTTTGGATCGAAACATATACACAAGATTTAATGAACAAAGCAATTTATTAAATTTGGGCATTTTGCCAAGTGATTATACTTATCTATGCTTGTGAAAGTTCTTTCATGCTCTGATAGCTTGGGAAGTTAATTACTAACTTTTATTAGCTGGACTTGGTCATATTGTTAAGGTTTATTTCATGTTCTATTAATTTGTTTTTATTTTAATAATTTTTTATTTTTAATTATTTGTCCTTTTATAAAAATTTTAAAGGGTCAGGGTCTTTATTATCCAATTCAAGCCCACTTTAATATAAAAATAATAATTTGTGATTTTGTGTGAAGTAATATGAAAAATCCTTTAAAAGCTACTCCCTCCGTCCCAAAATAATGGTCCCTTTTGGGGAATCCAACTTTTTTTGGTAGTACAATTATTGTACTTTTAAAAAGTTGGTTTTCCAAAATTACCCTTTGATAGTATACTTTTTTGAGAATATCAATATCATAATTGTACTTTTTATATTATTTATGAATTTAAAAGAAGGGCAAAATGGGAAATTTATATTATTTTTGTACTTGATTTTTGAAGAGGGACTAATATTTTGGGACAATGAAAAATGGAATAAGGGAGTAATATTATGGGACGGAGGGAGTAATAAATCTGACAATTATGTGAAAAAAAATAGAACATAAAAAAATTAAATTTAAAGTATGACTCCCTTTAATAATATGATAGATATTAGACAACTAAAATAAAATGAAAAAATCGGTCTAGGGTCCCTCTCCCACTTTTCGTAATGGAAGAGGTCTACAAAATTATTTTTTGATGTCTAAGGTCCTAAACATATATCAGACAAATTTCAGTCAAACCCATTGACACCCCTCTCTCTCTCTCCCTGTTGGACGATTTTTTCTCGATTATTTTCAACAACTCGAAGATCGATCGACTGTGAAATTCTCTATCGAAGTTTTTGATTATCGCTTTGCCAATGCATAACTGAGAGAGAGGGAGAGAGTAATGGAAAACGGTACATCAGAGAATGGTGTGTGCTCGTCGGAATCGATCAATGGAGCACAAGATGTTTGGAGTTGTAACCAATCTCTTGCTTTTTCCGCTGATCATCTTGTCGTCATGGTTCATGGAATTCTCGGAAGGTCTTTGGTTTTTCATTCTGAATTATTTTGATTTAATTCTGGATCTGATAATTGTTTATGTACTATTATTATTATTCTTTATGTTTACTTGTTTTGTAATCAGCAATTAATTTCTTAAACTTGGTGATTCAGAGTTCAGATTGTAAATTCTGGATATTGAAGCCTTTTTCTTTGAATTCCTCGGATGTAGGTTAAAAAATATAAAATTTGTTCTTCTCAGTACATTTGCTCCTTTACTAATACTTAATTTAGAGGGCAATTTTCCATTTTCAGTGATTAGTAGATGAGATTCATAAGAATTCAGCTTTATTTTTTTTGTTAATTTTTTTTTTTACCCTCATCTCTTGATATTGCAGATAGTGTGCAATTGGGGTGTTTTTAAGAGATTGTGTTGATATTTTTCTTTTATCTCCCATGCTGAAGTGAGTAGATTTCTTCATAATTTTGTGTATTTTGTAAAATCAATTGTTAATGTCTCCCCAGTTAAATATATTCTTTTGCTTTCGAATGTCTACTACTTGCTGTTTCAGTTATTTGCAGTTATGTTACCGAAAATTGTTTGATGATAATGAAAATGATTGCATTCTTTTTCAAGTTTGATAGGCGTTCTTTTAGTATTTCCTTGACTATCTCTGCAAAAATTAGGACACTAGCAAATAAGAATAAGAAATTATCAAGACAAACCAGATAATTTCTCTGGATCAACCCAATTGAATTTCTCTGGGTTGAAGTGTCCAGAGAAATTTCAAAAACCAAAAAAAGAATTTTTCTTGGTTTTTTTTTTTTTTTTTTTTTTTTTTTTTTTTTTTTTTTTGGTGATGCAGAAAATTTCTCTGGTTTTAAATCCAGAGAAATTCTCTGGTGATGGGATTTTCTCTGTGAATATATATCCAAGTCACCGCAAAATCGATTGGTTCTATAGTGGATAGAATTTTGAAATTTTTTCTGAAATTTTTTATGTGATTTGTTCAGAGAAATTTGAAATTTTCTCTGTGATGTCCAGAGAAATTTTATGGATAGAATTTTCTCTGGAAATTTGATTTGGAATCTGATAAAAAGCTTCATAGTTTTAATATAGGGAAGCATTCCTACTTAAAGACTTGTGCCACAGTTGGGGCATTTGGGTCTCCGGAGTCAAGTGGCAGTGGAGATGGTAACAACAGTAGCAACAATGATAGAGGATCAAATCCAGATTTTTCCAAAATTTCTCTAGTTCTGGTAAGTTGCCATTGTTATCCCATTCTAATGTTGCTTACATATTACAATGTGGAATTTTTCCAGTTGAATTCAGTTGAACAATGTTGCTTACCTAATGAATCACAATGATTTGGATGTGAATGAGAAGAAAAGTAGAGAAACTCATCCAGAGAAATTTGGTCCAGTGAAATTTCTCTGGGCCAGAATTTCTCTGACCAATTTTCTCTGCACTGAAATTTCTCTGGACCAAATTTCTCTAGACCAATTTTCTTTGGTTCCAGTTGAATTCAGTTGAACAATGTTGCTTACCTAATGAATCACAATGATTTGGATGTGAATGAGAAGAAAAATAGAGAAACTCATCCAGAGAAATTTGGTCCAGAGAAATTTCTCTGGGCCAGAATTTCTCTAACCAATTTTCTCTGCACTGAAATTTCTCTGGACCAAATTTCTCTGGACCAATTTTCTCTGGACTGAAATTTCTCTGGATCAAGGTTGAGGGACCTTAGACATTATGAAAATATTGTTGAGGGACCTTAGACATTATAAAAATATTTGATGTCCTTTATGCTATAAAATCATAATACCAGGGACCTTAAAAAAAACCCCAAATAAAATTGCATAATTTATTACTTTATATATTATTTACTCTAACTCAAAAAACATTCAATAAAAGTAATACTCTATCTCAAAAAACATTCAATAAAAGTAATATTGTCATTTGAAATGCTATTGGATTAATAAAATAACATCTTTCCTAAATTGAAGGAAAAAAGCCATGTACTCTTCTTATAAAATTACATAAATCTTTATGAATTTACATAAATAATTTTACAAAAATTCATAAGTTAAAATAAATTTGTTAAGTTTATGAAAATTTAAGACTTATGCAAATTTGTATTCAGTTTAAGTATTTTTTATGGTAGGATTACATACAATCTACATTGCACATAGGAAAATTTTTCTACATTAAATTAATGTTGTTATTTTTTTTTAATAATGCTATATGTATCAATTAATGTACTAACTAGTATATTAACAGATAATATGACATAATTTTAGAAGTTTTAGATATTTGTAATTTGTATAATATGTGGGGTCAGTAATAATGATATAACACTGTTGATACATGTGTGTGCATTAATTAGTGCATATAGCATTACTGATTATATTTTCATTGGACTTTTTTTTTTTTTTGAACGGTATTTTTATTGGACTTTCGGACCATAAAATGTTTGGGTAAATACGAACAAGTGCCTTGGGCCTCGACTTTTTGTACTTTGTTCGTAGCCCGATTTGCTCTGCACTTGCTAGGCCTTAATTCAAAGTAACCCAGCGCTTGGGCTTCAGCATCACAATTAAACACTTTGTTTTTGTTTTAAAAATACATATATTAAAATTTAATTTAGTGAAAATTAATATTAAAAAAATATTTTGAATTTAAAAAATTTACTTTTCATAAAAAAACAAGTATTTTTTATTTTTGATTATTATTTTAATTTTTTATTAAGTTTATAAAATTTCTTAAAAATCTTTATTATATAAAAAGTAATTTTGTGTTTTATATATATATATATATATATATTTGTTTCCAAACCAAATCAGTAAACAAACAAATATTTACCTTGTTTGGTTTCAGAAAATTAATTTTTTTATTTTTCGTATTTTTTTATTTTTAGTCAAAAAATTTAATATTTTAAGACTTTTTATTTTTATTTTTTGATGAAGCTAACCTAAATGCGCTTAAAAGTATAATATTTATAAAAAAAATCTTAAAAAATTCATCAAATAAAAAATAATAATATAAAATTCAGTATATTTTCTTATTCTTGTATATTTATTAAAATTTTAAAATATTTTTTTATAAATATTTTACATTTAAATTATGTGCATTTAGAAATAAAATTTTTTACTTCAAATATCAAAATTAAAAAATCAATCAAAATCAAGGTGGTTGGTTTCACAGGTTTGTATACCACCGACTCAAGTGGGACTGGGCCGTTGTTTTATTAAATAATGAAAAAGATTATTAAAAATGGTAATAATGATCAAGAAAGCAACAACTAGTGTATTTAAAAAGATACAAGGTACTAGAAAGTTCACATGTGAAGAAGGGTAGAAGGTAGACTTTTAGGGGTATTTGGGATGTTATAAAATAAGCGTATTTTTTAACTTTTTATGAAATATGAGTTGAATTTAAAATGATATGATAGAGAAGTGATGTAACTTAAATAAAATGATATGATTTAAATAAAATAATAATTTTTTAATTTTTTTAATTTATGATAAACAAGGCCTTGATCAATACACGTGCCTTCCTTAACAAGTCAATGAAATTGAACATGATGCTGGGTGGATGGTTGTGTTGTGTCAGAGATGCTCCGTTTTGGATTCTTGAAGCTAAAGCCAATTTTTCTTGTGTGGGCCTGGGGGCCTCTATCTTCCAAATTCACAATATTTATTTAGGTCTAGTTTGGGAACACTAAATAAGTATACTTTTTGACTTTTTTTGTATTATGTGTAGAAAAAGTAGAGAGGAGATGTTGATTGATGTGACCCAAAAAAGATAAAAAGATGAAATAAGTGCACTTTTTTCTTTGTAGCCAAACTTGACCTTAAAATAAAATTATCAAACTATAATCTTTTTTTTTTAATATTTTTTATCAATATATTCAAACACATAGTTTCTAGTATTCAATCAATTTAATTTTTGTTTCATAGATGATCTGCTTTAAAAGTACTGAAAATTAA